TAAAACTGGAGAGTGCAATATTTGGTGCAGCTGTGCATTGTAGCCAATCATCTAGGAAAGTGAAACTATTTGATGGCTTCTTATATCTCTCAGGGACTCTATTGGTTAGATATCTGTGCATGGGATCCTACCAAGGCCATTAGGAAAAGGCCAATTCTTTCTTCTACATTTTCTATTTATTTTATATTTTTTTGAGAATGCAACAGGAGTAGTTGGAATAGGAGTGTGGGGAATTACAGCAGAAAGATTCTGACATAGAAGTCCCCAAGACAGCGGCTAACTGAGCTCTCCCAGGTCTACCCATTTACTTTTGGGAGAAAAGATCTATATACTTATTATTTGAAGCTTTAACTGCATGTGCATTGCTTCTGAACTAATCATAATAGATTGTCACTTGTCCCCTGCATTATAAAATAAAAAAAACATATGTGATATCCCTTGAAGCAGGTTTTCAGAGAGTGTCCAGTATTTGTCAGTCAGCTGCTGCATTCTTTACTAGCAATAAACATAAAGTTTAAACTGGGATTTCTGATTTAGACCCATAACCAATAATAATAAATTTGTGGGCTACTTCAAACGATAAGTAATCAATATAGGCTCATTCAGACATGCATTTTTCCTGATTGCGTGCCAGTTGCAGTTGCAGTAAGATTATTGATCTGTTGCTAGAGACTTAAAATCACACAACAAAATCTACTGCTGTGCTACTGGGAGGATGTAATATTTGTAATAGTAGTTGTCTAATTTTTAAAATGTTCACTTCCCTTCTTCAGTGTACAGCAAAAAAAAAAAAAAAGAACAATTAATAACAGATTATAGAGATACGTTTGCTGCCATCACTGTTTTTTAACTATACAAGATCTGGAGTGGCATCCTGATGTCACTACCAAGTGAGTCACTAATCTATGCAGAATAATAGCTTAGATTATTTTTCAGACTTTAATGGCTGCATGCTTTTTCCAGGTAAGTGATTCATTAGGTAATGAAGCCAGAATCAAGATGTCGACCAAGAGCCTATATGCATGATAAAACAAATTAGCAATAGCAAATCCAATATTTCTACCCTTGCTCATTCACGTGAAGTGATACTAAACCCATCTGCAAATGCTTCAACATACAGGTAGTGAAAACTAGCATTAACATCATGGTTCACATAAAAGATCATTTGTAGTATTCTAAATACCTTTTTTAAGATGTTCTATGACCCAGTCAATTGATCATTTCCCAGCTTCTGTGACTCTATGGGCATGATGTGGGTAGAGCTCACTCCTTTATCCCATGGCTGCACAGAGCTGATTAGGGCTTTGGCAGTCTCATGCCTATTTATAAAAAAAAGATCCAAATATAAAAACATTTTCAATAAAAACATTATACATGTAAAGTGTGCTATGGTTTAGTCACATGAAAGATAAATTCTTTATTATTCTGCTGCCCCAAATGGCACACCTGCAGATCTGTGGGATAGTGCCAGAACTTTGACAGCGGCTTCTTCTTCTCACCTGCCCCACATGACACTTGTGCAGTCTTGCCAGGCAGAGCCAGAACTTTGATTGAAAGCAGCTTCCCCACATGACACTCCTGAATGTGTATTCTGTAAATAGGCAGAAGTGTACATTCAGGAGTGGCACGTGGCAGGGCAGCTGAGAAGGAGAAACCACTGCCAATCAACATTCTGGCACTGCCCCACAAGACTGCATGAGTGTCATGTGGCATGGCTGAGAAGAAGCCCCTGTCAATCAAAGTTGTGTTGATTCCCCACAAGTGAAAGGTTTTGTAACAAGATCAATTATAACAAAATGTGCAGGTTTACTAATGCATTGTTATAGTTAACCTTTCCTACAAGAACTTTTTCTGACACAAGATGGAGCTTTGTGGACTCTGATTCATCTTCTTTCAAGAGCATTGAACTCTGGGAGTTGTGGTCCCAGCCAGAAGGAGCTCTATTACTAACCAGACCCATTAAACTACAAAAGCCAGAATGCCTTAAGTTGGGAGGGGTCATATAGATTAGAAAGCCCGGGAAACCACAAGGCAGTCTGGGAGACACTGGTGTGTGGAGAAGGGAAGATCAGTCTGAGAGAGAGTTTGAGAGGAGGATTCTGTGCATTACATGGGAGAGTGTCCAGAGAACTGAGGAGGCTGCTGCAATCTGCTAAATCCAGTCTGTGTCCATGCTGCTGTCCACTGGAGCCAGGGATCATCCTGAGGCCTAGTAACAGAGCCACCCGAGACCCAGACCTGCTGATTATTGCCATGATGCAGACAAGCCTGGCTAAGGGTGCAGATGTAATGCAGAGCTACCACTTTCTGATCATTACAGAAGCTCATCTGTAAACCATTTCCACCTTAAAGGGGGCCCCCAGTTTATTACCAAAGGAGATCTTCTACTAAAAATATCCTGGAGTCGGTGAGTGGACATTAACCCTTTGTGACATATTGACTGTCCCCAGTGGCGTTTGCCAAGAGCGACAATTTTCAGGGGGTGGCAATGCCTGAGGACGTGGGGACCTGGTGAAGCTCCACCATGGAATCTGAGGAGGCTTCACGCTGCTTGAGGGTGTAAGCGCCCCGCACAGGGAAGGAAGACAATGGGCTTGGTTTCCGGAGAGGCTAAGGTTAGTGCTTCACTAACCGCTCTCTGTTTGCAAGCGGCAATATATATATATGTAAAGCGCTGTGTAAATTGATGGCGCTATATAAGTGCCTGAAATAAATAAATAAATAATACCGTTGATAATTAACCCCTTTCTAGACACTTCCTCACTCTTTTACTCTTGGAAATCAGTGATCTTCAACCATTTCCTTGTTGCAAAAATATGCCTTCTAGTGCTCAAACGTCTTCAAGGGCTCCAATAAGGCTGGACAAAGATGTACTTTGAGGACTGTATTAGAGTACCTGTTATCCTGCCTAGTCAAGAGTTAACAGTTACCTTGTAGTTACTACATTATAGCCTAGGTTCTAGCTTCCCCACGATAAGTGACTCTAGGCAACATAGTCATTAGAATATTGATACCAAAATCACCGTCGTCTTATGTTGCTCATTTCCAGTGGGGAAAGCTACAGTTTATGCAGCCTTACCAGAAACTTAGGAGGCACTCCTACTACATTTGTTGATATTTGAAATCGTATATGTATCTCAACAAGTGTTCTGCACTGTGATCTTTCGTCATTTCTGAGCTCTCAAATTCTCACTATTTTTTGTTATCATACTCCAAGGTCTCGAGTCTCATCTCAGGGTGACCCGGAGACACTAGCCAAAAGTTATCAGTCTGTGTCTATTGAAGTGCATACCAAAGGTGTCAGAAGTCTTTGTTGAGGTTAAGGTAAGAACAGAGGACCCAATACAATCAGCAGCTCTTGGGGGGGGTAGTGTGGAACCAGAGCATGTGCAAGGATGTAGTAACAGGTGATTCATATGATTATAGGCTGCAGCGGGGACGTGAATCGATAGTGGTTATGGTGCACTAGTATAGACTGATATAATACACTTATGTATAAAAATGTTTGTGTCTAGAGTTCAGCAGGAAAAAACGTAAAGTCCTCAAATGGAAGCTCCAGGATGAATCTTCAAACACTCTATGCAGCAAGTCTAAGAGACTGAAGAATCTCTAGGAGTATAAATGAAAATAGCAGTGGGACAATCTGAGTGTAGTAAATATGGTACATTTATTAGTAAAAATGGCAAATTAGCAACTTACATAAAGCTAATAAAGAATCGCGTAACATCAAAGTTAGGCTACAGTGGTGTGGATCTCGGCACAGCAGTCAGCCATATTCCAGTTAGGATCGACTACGCAGTGCTGTCAGCTGGGTAAGAGAACACCAGAGGGTACCAGACTAAGTGTAGCATATACAGGCACGGTAACCACACACACACAATAGGCAACTCACAGAGATGTGGAAATTCAGTGCAGATCAAAAAATCCAAGTCCACAGCTCCATTGTATCTGTAACAGGTATGTCCTGTCCCAACATTTTGAGTCTAGCAGCGTTTTGTTGGTATATTCGGAAGCTTGTGGAAACAGAAAATAGGAAGTAGCTGGGAGAGGTCAGTGGAGCTCATAGTGAACCAAAAGTGACATAATTTCTGGAAGTGCCACTAAGGGGGCATGGCTATGTATTTCGAGGCTGCCCAACCTCTTTCTCAAGCCTGGGGATAAACCAGGTTTTCTTCTACTCTACATTTAACTAAAGAGTAAATGCCTAAGTCAGTATGCACACAATGCAAACACATTACACTATAACATGTGAACACATTTTTTAAACATTCTGGGTTTGATGACACTTTAAAGTAGAACTAAAGGCACAACGTTTTTTAATCTTTTGATTAAGTAGGGGGAGTGTTATAACCCCTATGATGTTTTTTGTTTCTTTTTTTGAGGGGAATCCCAATCACCAATATTGTCCCAATTGGAAGACTTCTCTCCTCCTGCTCTGAGTACAACCCAAAATTTTGGATTTTCCTTTCCTTTTGATGATAATGGTAAACAGGACAAATAGAGTGAATCTCCCTAATAGGGGCCAAGACAGCAATAAAAACCTGAAAGGTGTTCTAACTCCTCAAGATTCTTAAAAAAAAAGTTATGTTTCATGCATTTGAATCCATTTCACAAATTAAAGGCTTTGCACACCTAAATATATCTTTTCAGTTAGAGGTGGAGTCTATAGGCCATAGCACACAAGACTGTCTTCACATTCATCTACATTTAGTGTGTCCCATGTCTCTGAATCTCTTCCCTACAGTAGGATGTTACTTGTGAAACTTTCCAGCATCTATATCAATGTACGGTGGTCTGACCATTAACCACTTGCCTACTGGGCACTTTGTACCCATATGAAATTTTTATAATTTTTTTTCACACAAATAGAGCTTTCTTTTGGTCGTATTTCCTCGCCACTGGGGGTTTTATATTTTGTACTATAAACAAATAAAGGGGCAAAAAAAAAGTTATTCTTTGTTTCTATTATAAAATTTTGCAAACAGGTATTTTTTTTCCTTCACTGATGTGCGTTGATGAGGCTGCACTGATAGGCGGCACTGATGGGCGGCACTGATGGGCACAGGTGGGTTGCACTGATGGGCACAGGTGGGTGGCACTGATGGGCACAGGTGGGTATCACTGCAGGACACAGGTGGGTGGCACTGATGGACACAGGTGGGTGGCACAGGTGGGTGGCACTGCAGGGCACAGGTGGGTGGCACTGCAGGGACAGGTGGGTGGCACTGCTAGGCACAGTAGGGTGGCACAGGTGGGTGGCACTGCAGTGCACAGGTGGGTGGCACTGCTGGGCACATCTGGGTGGCACTGATCATCAGTGCCCTAATGATCAGTGCCGATCCCTTCACTGACAATTGCCGGTTCACGGCAGTACTTTCCTCACGCTGTGACAGCCAACTGTAGTTACCTGGTGATCTGCTGTGTCATTGGACACAGCTGATCATGTGGTAAAAGGCTGCTGTGATTGGCCATTTATCGTATCACACATGATCAGCTGTGTCTAGCACACAGCAAGCACTGTGATTAGATCTCCAGGGGCACTGTAATGTAAAGGGGCACTGTGATAAAAAGGGGAATGCGCTGTAAAGGGGAACTGTAATCAATACAGTGTCCCTTTACAGTGCAGTCCCCTTTATATCACAGTGCCCCTTTATATTACAGTGCGGAGGACTGACTCTGTGAATATTCTGTCGAATGCCCTTGCACCCCCCACCCCGGAAATTAGTTGCTCAGTCTAAAACGCCCAGGCCTATTTTTTGTCCCAGTCTGGGCCTGCTCCAGCCCTTCGCTCTACTGGCACATCCTCTGCCCTACTGGCTAGAGATGTGCAGGGCAAAAAAAAATTGTTTCATTTAATTTTGAATTTTTTTCACCAAGTTAATAATTTTGCTTAGTCATATTCGGTATGTTATGAATGACTAGTTTTCGAAATTCGTTTCATACATTCAGATTTGTTTTGTATATTCCTTATTTTCAAACTGATGCCAAATTTGAAATTGGAAATTTGAATTTAGAATTTAGAAATTAAAATTTTGGAAGACAGCTATATTGGTTCTATATTATTCTATTATATTCTATTCTAATCTACTGTAGTCTATTTTTATCTATTCTATGATTTTATTTTCTACTATATTCTATTCTGTTTTATTTTATTATATTATATTCTTTTCTATTCTATTATTTTAGTTTAGTTTCTACTATATTCTATTCTGTTTTTATTTTTATATTCTATTCCTTTCATGTTATTCTAGTCAGTTCTATTCTATTTAATTATTTTATATTCTATTCTATAAAGCAGCCTAGCAGTAGGAATAATCATCATTTTTCACTTTTTATACCTTACTGTATTTATTGCAATATATTTCCATTTCGAGTTCATTTGTTAATTCAAATTTGAATTCATTTTTAATTAGGATAAATTTGTTTCATTGTAATTTATTTCAGACTCATTGAAATTCGTTACTATTGTGATTCGGAAATTCAGATACATCCGAATCTTAGAATAATGAAAATTTACCGTATTTTTCGCTCCATAAGACGCACTTTTTTCCCCCAAAAAAAGGGGGGGAAATGCCAGTGCGTCTTATGGAGCGAATATAAAGCGGCCGGTCCGGAATTTCTGCTGCCACCATGTCAGAATACCGGGCCGGCCGCTCAGCTGTTCTCTCCTGCAGGGCCTTACCTGTTCCTCGCTCCAGCGCTGCACAGTCTTCTCGCGCTGGCTTCTGTGACAGCCGGGTGCCCACTGCGCATGCGCTGCGCTTTGTGAATGGTGCGGTGTCTTCTGGGACTCAACACAGGTCCCAGAAGGCGCCGGGCCATTCACAAAGCGCAGCGCTTCTTGCGCATGCGCGCAGTGGGCACCCAGCTGTCACAGAAGCCGGCGCAGGAAGAAGAGGGAAGGACAACTCCGCGGAAGTGGGAGCGGGTACCTGTCAAATTCAGGTACCCGCTCCCCCTCCCTCCCCAAAGGTCAGCAGTCTCTGGTCATTCCCTGAACTCTCCACAGTCTCTGGTCATTCCCTGCACTGTCCACAGTCTCTTATCATCCCCTGCACTGTCCGCAGTCTCTGGTCATCCCCTGCACTGTCCACAGTCTCTGGTCATCTCCTGTACTGTGTCCGCAGTCTCTGGTCATCTCCTGTACTGTGTCCGCAGTCTCTGGTCATCTCCTGTACTGTGTCCGCAGTCTCTGGTCATCTCCTGTACTGTGTCCGCAGTCTCTGGTCATCTCCTGTACTGTGTCCGCAGTCTCTGGTCATCTCCTGTACTGTGTCCGCAGTCCCTGGTCATCTCCTGTACTGTGTCCGCAGTCCCTGGTCATCTCCTGTACTGTGTCCGCAGTCCCTGGTCATCTCCTTTACTGTGTCCGCAGTCTCTGGTCATCTCCTGTACTGTGTCCGCAGTCTCTGGTCATCCCCTGTACTATGTCTGCAGTCCATTGGTTCAGAATATTTTTTTTTCTTGTTTTTCGCCTCTAAAACCTAGGTGCGTCTTATGGTCAGGTGCGTCTTATGCGGTAGTTCAAATTTCCATTTGTAACAAGACAATTCATGCATGTCTACAACTGACACCATCCTCTGCCCTACTGACACATCCTCTACCCTACTGACACATCCACTGCCCTACTGACACCGTCCACTGCCCTACTGACACTGTTCACTGCTTTACTGGCACCATCCTCTACCCCACTGACACCGACCATGGCTCTACTGACACCATTCTCTACCCTACTGACACCGTCCACTGCCCTACTGACACTGTTCACTGCTTTACTGGCACCATCCTCTACCCAACTGACACCGACCATGGCTCTACTGACACCATTCTCTGCCCTACTGACACCGTCCACTGCCCTCCACTGCTGCTTTACTGGCACCATCCTCTACCCCACTTATACCGACCATGGCTCTACTGACACCATTCTCTGCCCTACTGACACCGTCCACTGCCCTACTGACACTGTTCACTGCTTTACTGGCACCATCCTCTACCCCACTTATACCGACCATGGCTCTACTGACACCATTCTCTGCCCTACTGACACTGTCCACTGCTCTACTGACCGACACTGTCCACTTTTAACCTCCCTGGTGGTCTGATTATGTCAATATTTTTGAATGTCAAAGCTGTACATTGTTTTGCATGGAAATGTCAGTGTCTGATGTCGAATTTTCCCACGAATTATTATCGCTCAATTCTGCAAGTGATTCTAATTCACTATTGCTGTTTTCTAGCTGGTCTAAAACCGCTTTTGACCTAAAGGGATGCTTTTTGGATTCCATGGACGTTCTCAAGTTTCCAGGCAGAAAGAACGTTAAAAGTGCAGGCAGGGCACAGGACAAAGCACTAGGGACTAAACTGAGGTGAAATGGTTTGATACAGTAATGTATTCCTAACAGATTACAATGTATTGTGTGTGTGCCATGTTTTTACTTTTTTTAATCTCCCGTCGGTTCCGCCCAACTGTGTCGCGGCGCTCGCAGGGAAGGTAACCCAGAAGACAGAGGTCACTGTGGGAGGACATTGGGGGATCTCAGGGACAAGGTAAATTACACTACAGTGTAATCCCGAGTGTGGCTCGGGGTTACCAGTTTTGCTACTGAAAATTTACCCCGAGCCACACTCAGGATTACCGCCAGGGAGGTTAAGGTAGGCTAAGTTTATATTTTTGCAGTGACATTTGTATTATTATATTTTTCAAAATGTTTTCCTTACTAATAAGTTAGATTTTGCTAGTTAATTTCTTTTTTTTTTAAAAAAGGGTGCCGAACCTTGATGATCTATGATCTCTTTCATGTTGTTCAGGTAGATCTTCACCTCTCAAAGTTTGCCTACACCTAATTTAACTATCTGCTGTAAAGTTTTTTTCCCATACCTCAAAAAGCACATGGTCTCAGTGGAAGAAAATCTTTCTGCAATTTGGAAAGATGTGCATCTATTGGAGTTTTTCTGCGTATTGAATTGCTTGTAGACATGCAAAAAGCGTTGTTCTCAAAAGTATCCCTGCTGCTGGAATTGCTGAGCTGTGATATTTTTTATGCTTTTTGATACTTTTGAATTCTGATCTGCACAAATACCTGCTTTTTGCATAACCTCTTACTTCTCACTAATATACCATATCACAGCAAGGATCTGTGCATTCGCTACAGCATGATAGTGAGCAACCTTTTCTCCATCAATATGGAGCTGATCCAAGAGACAGAAAAGGGCCCTAATCTCACATGGAAGAGACTAAAACAAGCTTAAGGCAGCCCTGCAGTAATGGAACTTGTCTTTCCTAAAAGATTACAATACTTTTCTAGATGGTCCAACAGATCTTGAGTTTGAAATGTGCCAAGGAGGACCAGAATTTACCAGATCTTAGCATCCTAGAACTGCACATGGTATAAACCCCATCGTATCAAAAGAGACAAAAGTGGTTTAAAGATGTAAGAAGGAACATTAAGTCCCTTTTCCCCCTTTTCTTCTTCTTTTCAAAATTTTTCATAAACTTAACCAGAACTAAGAATGATCTAAGCTTTATTGACTTGAGCAGTCCTAGCCTGCCAACTAAAAGAATGTCTAAACACAGAGACTCTAGAAATGTCTCTGTTATAAGGATAGGAGTTACACTCACAACCAGCAACAGCAAAGACTGGTACAAGGACCTAAACACCCATTCATTCAGGACAAACCATCAAGACATCCTTTTAGGAAGAGTTGTGTGTTCAAAGGAAAGCCTTTTGAAGCATGCAAGGAGATTTTAAAGACCCATGACATTTGCTTCAGATGTGCATCTACAGAGCTCAGTTAAGTTCTCAAAATATGAAGTGATGGGCACTTATCAGTTTTACACTGAGGCTCTTTAAACCACTTTGCCTCTCACTCCTGTTCACACATTGTAAACCAGAGCAATTTTACATTTCTGCTATGGACCTGTTTATTTGGCAACAATTTGGTCTTTACTACAGATAAGTATTATTATTCTTTTTACTACAGAAAACGTGTTTTTTTTTTTAAGAACAAACAAAGCTCTCTTTTCCAGATATTGTCTTGCAACAATGATTTTTTTTTTCACAATCCTTGGACAATACAATGCAACAAACTAAAAACAAAATGCACTTTCTTTTTGAGCAGCAGTGTTATTTTGGGTAACGTACATGTATGTCATCAGGTCTAAGTGGTTATACCAGGCTGATGCCTGAAGCTACAGGTATCATCCGGATATCTTTTTTAGAGCTGGTGATGCTCTTTCAACTAAAATCAATCCTAGTGGTTAATTAGCCGTTGAATTGCTTTTACAAGTAGGGGAAGGGGGTCCCCCCCTGTTGCCCTCTGGTGCTTTTCTGGGCTCT